AATGTCCTACCTTTTAGTTGGCATTCTGTAGACTAGAAAAGTAATGGAGATATGAGGCTTTTCTGCAGTCTCAACTTTTAATTAATTCTCGGTATTTATTGGTGTCAAGAGGCAATTGGGGTCATATGGGTCATACTCCTTGTTCCAGTGTTCTTTCCTCGAGTTTCATATTTTACACCTGTTATGAAAATGTCAGGAAGTACCGAATTACCTGTTCATGGGTATCAAGAAACAGTCACAGTAGCCACATTAGTGTTAGCAAAATATGCATTTTCTCTTTGGTTCCAGTAGAGGCTTCAGATGTGAGAGCATATGTGCTAATTTACAGGGAAATGCTAGAGACTTGACCTAAAAACCACTCCTTCAACCCATTGAACATTTCTGTAAGCACTGATTTTCCAAGTTGAATAAACAGAATTTTGTTAAAATACCCAGAGTAGGGACTTGCCTGGTGATCCAGTAATTAAGAATCTACCTGCCAATGCCAGGGACAGAGTCCATCCCTGGTTGGGGAGCTAAGCTCCCACATGCTGCAGCACACCTAGACCCATGCTCTGTAGCTACCAAACCAGTGCATAAACAAGATTTAAAAAAAAAATGATGGGAACCTCAATAGACATTTTTACAAAGACATACAGCTAACCAACAGACACATGCAAAGATGCTCAACATAACTAATCATCAGGAAAATGCGACTCAAAACCACAAAGAGGAGCTTCCGTGGTGCTGAAGCAGTTAAGACTCTACACTCCCAATGCAGGGGGCCTGGACTTGATCCCTGGTCAGTTGAAACTAAGAGTTCACAGGCCAGGCTGCAATTAGAGATACTGAGTGCTATGACTAAAGATCCTGCATGCTTCAACAAAAAGAACCCTGCATGCCGTAATGAAGATCAAAGATCCTGAATGCCACAATTAAGAGCCAGCACAGCCAAATAAGTAAACAAATATATTAAAAAAACACACACACACACAATGAAGGCTTTCTGGTGGTCCAGTGGTTAAGAATCTGTCTACCAATGCAGGGGACAAGGGTTCAATCACTAGTCCAGGAATATCCCACATGCTGAGCAACAACTAAGTCCATGTACCATAACTACTGAATCCATGATCCACAGACAGCATGCCACAACTACCGAAACATTTTGCCACAACTACTTAAGCTTTTTAATTTACTGCCTAGGTTTGTCCTTGCTTTTCTGCCGAGGAGCAAGGGTCTTTTAATTTCATGGCTGCAATCATGGTCCACAGTGATTTTGGAGCCCAAGAAAATAAAGTATGTAACTCTTTCCATTTTTTCCTCATCTGTTTGCCTTGAAGAGATGGGACTGTGTGCCAACATCTTATTTTTTTTGAATATTGAGTTTCAAGCCAGCTTTTTTACTCTCTTCTTTCACCTTCATCAAGAAGCTCTTTAGTTCCCCTTTGCTTTTGCCATTAGAGTCGTATCATTTGCATGTCTGTGGTTGCTGATATTTCTCCCAGCAATCTTGATTCCAGTTTGTGATACATCTATCCAAGCACTTTGCATGATGTACCCTGCACATGACTTAAATTAGAGGGTGACAATATACCACCTTGGCCTACTCCTTTCCCATTTTTGAACCAGTGTGCTGCTCCCATGTCTGGATCTAACCATTGCTTCTTGACCTGCATACAGGCTTCTCAGGAGGCAGGTAAGGTGGTCTGGTACTCCCATCTCTTTAAAAATTTTCTACAGTTTGTTGTGATCTAAACAGTCAAGGCTTTAGCATAGCGAATGAAGCAGAAGTAGATGTTTTTCTGGAATTCTCTTGTTTTTTGTATGATTCAGCAGATGTTGGCAATTTGATCTCTGGGTGCTCTGCCTTTACTAAACATGGCTTATACATGTGGAGGTTCTCAGTTCACATACTGTTGAAGGCTAACAAAGAATTTTGAGCATTACCTTGCTAGCATGTGAAATGGGCACAGTTGTGCAGTACTTTGAACATTCTTTGGCATTTCCCTTCTTTGAGATTGGAATGATAACTAACTTTTCCATTCCTGTGGCCACTGTAGTGCTTTCCAAATTTGCTGGCATACTGAGTGTATCACTTTAACAGCATCATTCTTTAGGATTTGAAATAGTTCAGCTGGAATTCCACTGCCTTCACTAGTTTTGATTGCAGCAATTCTTCCTAAAGCCCATTTGATTTCATACTCCAGGATCTGACTCTAGGTGAGTGACCATACCATCATAGTTATCCAGGTCATTAAAACTTTTTTTGTACAGATTTTCTGTATATTCTTGCCACCTCTTCTTAATCTTTCTGCTTCTATCAGGTTCTTACTATTTCTGTCCTTGTGTGCCCATCTTTGCATGAAATGTTCCTTGGTAACTCTAATTTTCTTGAAGCGATCTCTAGTCTTTCCCATTCTATTTTTTCCCTCTATTTCTTTGCCTTGTTCACTGAAGAAGGCTTTCTTCTCTCACTTTGCTGTTCTTTGGAAGTCTGCATTCACATGTGTGTATCTTTCTGTTTCTCCTTTGCCTTTTCCTTCTCTTCTTTTCTCAACTATTTGTAAGCTTCCTCAGACAACCATTTTGCCTTGCTGCATTTCTTTTTCTTGGGAATGGTTTTGGACACCACCTCCTGTATGATGTTACCAACCTGTGTCCATAGTTCTTCAGGCACTGGGTCTATCATATCTAGTCCCTTAAATCTATTTCTCACTTCTACTGTATAATCATAAGGGATTTTATTTGGGTCATACTGGAGTGGTCTACTGGTTTTCTCTACTTTTTTCAAGTTTGAATTTTGCAATAAGGAGCTCATGATCTGAGCCACAGTCAGCTACAAGTCTTGTTTTTGCTGACTGTATAGGGCTTCTCCATCTTTGGCTGCAAAGAATATAATCAGTCTGATTTTGGTATTGACCATCTGGTGATATCCATGTGTAGAGTCTCCTTTTGTGTTGTTGGATGAGGGTGTTTGCTATGACCAGTGCATTCTCTTGACAAAACTTTGTTAGCCTTTGCCCTGCTTCATTTTATTCTTCAAGGCAAAACTTGCCTGTTACTCCAGGTATGTCTTGACTTCCTGCTTTTCATTCCAGTCTTGTATGATGAAACGGACACCATTTTTTTGGTGATAGTTCTAGAAGGTCTTGTAGGTCTTCATAGAGACATTCAACATCATCTTCTTCTGCATTACTGGTTGGAGTAGAGAGGTTATTAGGCTAAGTGAAAGAAGTTAGGCAAAGAAAACCAAATAATGCTTGATTTCACTTATAGGTAGACTCTAAAAACAAAACAAATTAGCAAACATTTAACAGCAAGAAAACATAGGCAGTTTCCAGAGGATATTGAGTATTGGGAATGAGTAATTTTGGTGATGGAAATTAAGAGGGATAAACTTCTAGTTTAGAAGGAGAAGAGAAGAAGAAGGAGAAAAGGGAACAGAATGAGAGAAGGGGATGAGGGAGAGGAGGAGAAGAAGATGGTGTAGAGGAGATGAAGGAGGAAAAGGAAGTGAAATTGCCATAGCAACACTTATGGGAAAGTATAGCAAACAAAATGTTTCATATTTACTCAGAAGTAAGAGTAGACTTATGATCAAAACACAGACCCCTAAAGCAGATAAATGGTGATAAGATTATTTATTGTATTCTAAAATAATATTAAAGATCAGTATGTAAAGCTCTGCTATCCAAAGCAAAACAAAAAGCAAAAACTTAAAACAAGTAAGAATAACTAGACTTACATATTGAAAATAAAGAAACTAGACAGTAACCTAGTATAATAGGTGAAATAAAATTCCATTTGAAACAAAAGTCTAAATTTGGGGGAAACAATGATGTGTTTTCATTTTATGTAGGAAAATCGATCATTAAGCAAGATATCAAAAAACTCAAAATATAAAAATTAATTACAACAATATTAAAACAAATGTCATTATATATGTGTGTATATATATAGTGTGTATATGTATACACACACACACACATATATATGTTTAAAACAAAAGGCACTGGGATAGGGAAAACACAGTTAAAGGGAAAAAATCTAGCTTGTGCTTGAACCTTAGGGCTGCTGTTTCAGCAACTTAGTATCAGACCCCATTCTCAGTTTGGCAGTGACTGCAACTGAGTAGAGAAGTCCAGCCTCACACCCAGCACTAATTCTAGCTGTTCCTTCTCCAGTTCACCACCTACCAATGTGAGAGCTTCCAGCACACTATAGAGAAAGATGTGACTTGCCTACATGTGAACTTCAGCTCTCCCAAACAAAGGCACTGAGCTCATGCAATCTGTATGCTTCCACATAACATCACCCCATTAAAAGTGCAATAGGTAACAGTGTCACCTAAGTTCATAGAAGCAAAGAAAGCTAACCAAAGTGGAAAGGCAGAGAAACTTCTCTCAATGGACAGAGCAAGAGAAGCCTTGAAAAACAAATAATAAAACAAATAAGTAACCTATATGATAAAGAACTCAAGGGATTGGTAATAAAAATATTAACTGAATTAGGAAGAGAACTGATGTACACATTGAACATTTTAACACTGAACTAGAAAATATAAAAAAAAGAAGCAATCAGAAATATTCAACATCTATAATTAATTAAAAAATGGGAATGAATAGTAGACTAAGTGATACAGACAAACATGTATGTGATCTGGAAGACATAATAATGAACATCACCCAGTAAAAAAAGCAAAGTGAAATGAAAAAAATGAAACAATTTAAGACATCTCTGAGAAAACATCAAAAATACCAACATTCACACTGTAGAGATTTCAGGAGGATAAATGTCGAAAAGAGATTTTTAAAATGTATTGGAAGAAATTATGGCTGAAAATTTCCCAAACCTGACAAAAGAAAGAGATAGTCAAGTAGATGAAGCATGTGTCTGTGTATTAAGTCACTTCTTTGTGACCCTATGGACTGTTGCCTACCAGACTCCACTGTCCATGGAATTCTCCAGTTAAGAATACTGGAGTGGGTTGCCATGCTCTCTTCTAGGGGAGCTTCCCAACCTGGGAATTGAACACACATCTCTTACATCTCTTGCACTGGCAGGTGAGTTCTTTACTGTTAGCACTACCTGGGACGCCCACTGAAAGCACAGAGGATTCCACATAAAATGTACACAAATAGGTTCACATGAAGACATATCATAATTAAAGAGAAAGATTTGTATGTAAGGGAATCCTTTTAAGGCTGTCAGCTTATTTCTCTGCAGAAACTTTGCAGGCTAGGAAGAAGTGGCATGATATTTTCAAAGAGCTAATAGGGTAAAAATCTGCAACTTAGGAAAATCTACCCAGTAAAAATGTCATGTAAAATAGAAAGACAAAGGATTCAAACAAGTGAAAACTAACAGAATTCTTTAATACCAAACCTACTGTAAAAGAAATAATGACTGATTTCTCTAAGAGAAAAAGAAAAATCTATAGGAAAGGAAAAATCCCAGTAGGAAAGGCAAATGTATGCTAAAGAATATAAACCACTTAAATAAAACAATACAAATATTAAAAGATGAAAAACATTGCAAAAACAACTATAACTACAATATGTTAAGTGTTATGCATGAAGATATAAAATACGATATCAAAAACACAAAGTGTAGGGGAAGGGGGTTAAAAAGGAAGATTATTTAAAATTCTTTTGAACCTAAACAATTACTAATTTCAAACAAGTAAATATAGTTATAGATCAACATATTGAACCTCATGGTAACCATGACTAAAAAACCTACAATAGATACACAAAAACTAAAAAGAAAGGAACACAAACATACTATTAAGGGAAATAATCAAAGCACAAGGGAAGAAACAAAAAGAAGAAATGAACTGAGAAGAACTACCAAAACACTCAGAAAACAAGTATTAAAATGAAATGGCAACCCACTCCAGTACTCTTGCCTGGAAAATTCCATGGAAGGATGGAGGAGCCTGGTAGGCTATAGTCCATGGGGTCCCAAAGACGGACACGACTGAGAGACTTCACATACACTTGTCCAAAATTACTTTAAATGAAAAAAATGCTTGAATTGAAAGATACGGGGTAGCTAATTGGATCAGAAACTAAGACCCTTCCTTTTGATGCCCACATAAGCCTTGCTATAGAGCTAAAGATACACATAGTCTGAAAATGATGGAGGGAATGGAAAAATATATTTAATGCAAGTAGAAACAACAATAAAGCACAGGTAGCAATCTTATAAGCAAAATTAGAAAAAATAAAAAGAGTAGATTTGTGTAGACTAAACAGCATGCTACAAAAAAAGAAGTAAATGAAGAAATCAAGGAGGAAACCAAAAAATACCTCAAGACCAATGAGGATATACAACTTTTCAAAATCTATGGGATGTAGCAAAAACAACCTAAGAGAGTAGTTTATAGCAACGCAGGCCTTCTTCAAGAAATGAGAAAAATCTCAAACAATTTGACATACCACTTAAAGAAATTAAGAAAAGTAAAACAAAGTCCAAAATCATCAGAAAGAAGGAAATAATAAAGATCAGAAAGGATTAAATATAATAGAGATTTTTTGAAAAGCCAATGGAAAAGAGCAATGAAACCAAAAGTTGTTTTTTTTAAAAAAACTAAAAAAAAAAAAAAAAGATAAATCTATAGCCAAGCTCACTAAGAAGAAAAAGAGAGAAGATGCCAATAAACAAAATAAGAAATTAAAGGGGAGAGTTAACAAACAATACCACAGAGATATTTTTAAAAATCATAAGAAAAACTACTATCAATTATATTCCAATATGTTGGATAACAAAAAAATGAGCAAATTTCTGGAAAAAAAAAATAATATCTGCCATGACTGAATCCAGAAGAAACAATTTGAACAGAGCAATAACTGGTAGTGAAACTGAATTTGTATTAGATAAACTCTCTGCAAACCAAAGTCCATGACCAGTGGCCTTCACAGGGCAATTTTACCAAATAAAGAATTTCTTTACAATATAAAGAAGAACTAATGCCTCTTCTTCTCAAACTATTCCAAAAAATGGAAAAGGATGGAACATTCCTAAATGTAGTCTATGGAGATATCATTACACTGCCCAGTATCAAAACCAGGAAAAGACAGTACAAAAAAAAGAATATTATAGTCCAATAATTTTGATGAATATAGATGCCAAAATACTTGACAAAATATAAATAAACCAACAATGTATAAAAAGGATCATACATCTTGATCATGTTGTATTTATTCTTGATATGTAAGGATGTTTTAATATTTGCAAATCAATATGAGAACCCACATTAACAAAAGAAAGGATAAAAGTCACATGATCATCTCAATAGATGCCAAAAAAAAAAAAAGCCTCTGACAAAATAAAACATCCTTGTATAATAACAACTCTCTTCAAAGTGGATATGGAGGGTACATATTTCAGAATAACAAAGGCCATTTATGATAAAAGTTGTGGATTTACCATAAATGGCCTTTGTTATTCTGAGATATGTACCCTCCATACCCACTTGATGAAAGTGAAAAAGTTGGCTTAAAGCTCAACATTCAGAAAACTAAGATCATGGCATCTGGTCCCATCACTTCAAGGGAGCTAGATGGGGAAACAGTGGAAACAGTGGCTGAATATTTTTCTGCGCTCCAAAATCACTGCAGATGGTGTTTGCAGCCATGAAATTAAAAGACGTTTACTCCTTGGAAAGAAAGTTGTGACCAACCTAGATAGCATATTAAAAAGCAGAGACATTGCTTTGCCATCAAAGGTCCATCTAGTCAAGCCTATGGTTTTTCCAGTGGTCATGTATGGATATGAAAGTTGGACTGTAAAGAACGCTGAACACAGAAGAATCGATGCTTTTGAACTGTGGTGTTGGAGAAGACTCTTGAGAGTCCCTTGGACTTCAAGGAGATCCAACCAGTCAATCCTAAGGAAGATCAGTCCTGGGTGTTTGTTGTTAGGACTGATGTTGAAGCTGAAACTCCAATACTTTGGCCACCTGCTGTGAAGAGCTGACTCATTGGAAAAGACCCTGATGCTGGGAATGATTGAGGACAGGAGGAGAAGGGAACGACAGAGGATGAGATGGTTAGATGGCATCACCGACTCAATGGACATGGGTTTGGGTGGACTCCGGGAGTTGGTGATGGACAGGGAGGCCTGGCATGCTGTGGTTCATGGGGTCGCAAAGAGTCAGACATGACTGGGTGACTCAACTGAACTGAACTGAAAGTCTACGCACCAAAACTTAAAAAAATAAATGAATTCAAGAAAATTTGAAGGATATAAGGTTAATATACAGAATTACTTTGCATTTCTCCACACTAATAACGAATTGTCAGAGATTAAAAAAAAATTCAATTTAAATTCACATAAGAAAGAATAAAATACCATTACACTTACTGAGAAGGTGAAAGACCTGCATTCTGGAAAAATATAAAACACAGACATAGGAATTTGAAGCTAATGCTGAGAAATATAAAGATATCCTATATGATTATGTTGACACAGCTAATATTAATGAAACATTCATACTGCACAAAGTAATTTACAAATTTAATGCAATCCCTATAAAAATACCCATGGCATTTTCACAAAGTTAGAACAGGTAATCCTAAAGTTTACATGGTACCACAAAAGACCTCAAATTTCCAAAGTAATCTTAAGAAATAAGCACAATGCTGAAGGCATCACCTTCTCAAACTTCTGACTATATCACAAAGCTACAGTAATCAAAGCATCATGATACTGGCAGAAAAACAGATACATAGGTCAATAGAACAGAAAAGTGAGCCCAGAAATAAACTCATACACCTATGGTCAAGTAATATACAACAAAGGAGGGAAAATATACAATGGACAAAGAGAGCCTTTAATAAGTGATGCTGGAAAAACTGGGCAACCACATTTAAAACAGAAAGATTAGAACATTTCCTTGCACCATATACAAAAAATAAAAATGGATTGAAGAACTAAACTTAGGCCTGAAACCATAAAATACCTAGAAGAGAATACAAATGGATTATCCTTTGAGATATATTCTAGCAATATATTTTTACATCTATCCTTCAAAGCAAAATAAAGAAAGCAAAAAAGAAGAATCAGTTCAATCACTCAGTCATTTTTGACTCTTTGCAACCCCATGAACTGCAGCATGCCAGGCTTCCCTGCCCATTACCAACTCCCGGAGCTTGCTCAAACTCATGTCCATCGAGTCAGTGATGCCATCCAAAAATCTCATCCTCTGTTGGCCCCTTCTCCTGCCTACAATCTTTCCCAACATCAAAGTCTTTTCAAAGGATTCATTTCTTCCCAACAAGTGGACAAAGTATTGAAGTTTCAGCTTCAGCATTAGCCCTTCTAATGAATATTCAAGACTGATTTCCTTTAGGATTGAATGGGTTGATCTCCTTGCAGTCCAAGGGACTCTCAGGAGTCTTTTCCAACACCACAGTTGAAAAGCATCAATTCTTCAGTGCTCAGTTTTCTTTAGAGTCCAACTCTCACATCCAACATGATCACTGGAAAAACCAGACCTTTAGTTAGACAGATCTTTGTTGACAAAGTAATGTCTCTGCTTTTTATATGTGCACTCTAGGTTGGTCATAGCTTTTCTTCCAAGGAGCAAGCCTCTTTTAATTTCATGGCTGCAATCACCATCTGTGATTTCGGAGCTCAAGAAAATAAAGTCTGTCACTGTTTCCACCCATCTATTTGCCATGAAGTGATGTGGCCGGGTGCCAGGATATTCATTTTTTGAATGTTGAGTTTAAGCCAGCATTTTCACTCTCCTCTTTCACATTCATCAGTTCAGTTCAGTAGCTCAGTAGTGTCCGACTCCTTGTGACCCCATGAACCATAGCACCAGGTCTCCCTGTCCATCACCAACTCCCAGACTCCACCCGAACCCATGTCCATTGAGTCAGTGATGCCATCCAACCATCTTATCCTCTGTCGTCCCCTTCTCCTCCTGTCCTCAATCATTCCCATCATCAGGGTCTTTTCCAGTCAGTCAGCTCTTTGCATCAGGTGGCCAAAGTATTGGAGTTTCAGCTTCAACCTCAGTCCTTCCAATGAACACCAGGACTGATCTCCTTTA